GGGGAGGAAGATATTCCTTCAGATGTAGAAGGTCAAAAGCATGTAATACAGCATACAGGCTTTCCAAGCAAAGGTAGCATATAGGGTATACAAGGAGTGTTCAGCAATCATTATGTGTTTTGTCCAAGCACATAGAATTTTATATTGAGGGAACTATTTATGTATCCTTTAGTTCTTTTAGTAATTTACGGGCAGTGGTAGCTATTGTGAGTTAGTCACTTTGTATAGATAGCGATGTACTAATTCTTTTCATTTAATACGAAAATTCTTTAAAACTCTGTTCTCCTTGTTCTCTTGGTCTTACAAGCCTAGAATATATCCCACACCTCACGGAATAATTCAAGGCATTCAGTCTTTATAATCAGTTATGCAATTAGTATCACCTAAAGTATCACAATGTAGAATCTTATTAAAAAAGCCTAATTATTAAGCATATGACAGTAGCATATACTCTGTAAGGATGTAAATATAAGAACCATACAAACTACCTACCTCTCTCATCCAGCTCAATGACATAAGGCTTCTTATTCAACTCCTTGAATACACCTTTAGCCCTTTTACAGTACCTATTGAACACCAACACCAACAAATGCCCAAAACAAAATTAAATAAAAGTAAACCATTTCAAATATTTGTAGTAGAAATGAATGACCGGAAATGGTTTCGTTTTTAATAGACCGCCAATATACATAAAGATGATCACCATATCATCTAAAATCACCCAAATTCTCAGAAGTTCATGAAATTTCAACAATTAAAATTAAAAAAAGAAAAACCATCACACTAATTAGCTAGCATGTGGAGTAATGATCTCTATAAGAAACTTGTACTGCGTCCCCTCTTTTTCAAATGAACGTATATTGTGCTGAGATAGCAGATTAATACAGATTACTGAAATATGTAAAAGAAAAGGTCCGACTGAATAAAATTATTCCGATGAAAGTGGTTGGTCAAAGTACGGCTATGAACCTTTAACTAGCAAATGACTGATACAAAATTACCAACAGAAGAGGGCGTTTGATATTTTCAGAAACTAGTTGCTACTTAGAAAATTAGCAGTGGTTGTCTGAAAATCCGGTACGGAACTATCAGGATTTGGGAACCAATTAGTGAGAAACGATCAGATTAAGGGATATGAAAGATACATACGGGCAGTAAGATTTGGAGAAGATGACAATGGAGTGAGAAGAAACGGTCTTCTTGACAAAATCGACGGATGATGCTTCGGCATCACACATAACGATGGCGGTGATCATCAACAGGATGATGAAAATGGAAGATACGGCGGCGGATCTGGCCATTTTTCGGCACTGATCTTGCGGCGATTTGGATGTCGTTGGTTCAACTTTGGACGTCAAAACCAGATCTGCAAAAATGGACCGACTTCCACTTAATTTACGGACAACCCCTCCCCTCCACCAAAAAAGAAAGAGGGGTGACATATGAAAATATCAAAAATAAATGAGTAAACTACGATTTTGGTCCCTTGGTTTACATTTTATTTTGAAAAGCGAGGTTGGATTTCGGTGAAAATGAAAGTTATAGTGAGAAGAATAAGAGAGAATCTCCACTCTTAGATCAATTATAATTGAAGAACAACAATAATGAAATGCATCAAGATACACCGGATCAATTCTCGTGAGAAGTGCAATTCATGGGATGAAATGAGATTAAAAGTAATCAAGCGTCCATACATCTTCTTACGCTTCTAACTTTAATTTCTATTCTCATACGATCCTTCGTCTTGTAAAGTGTCTCTTACAGTAACACTGTTAAAATATATACGTTAAATTATGGCACTTTGTTCTTTATACACATTTTATTTATCATTTTTTTTGTAATTTTTGCCTTTTATCCACCTATAATTATACTTAATAGGGAACAAAATAGTGGTTTACTCGAAACAACGTATTTTAATAAAAACTGATTAATTCAAATGAGAAATCCTAAATTTTAAGTGACCATTAGTTTAAATTTTCTATTTTTAGTTATTTTTTTCACTAAGAGGTTGTTTGTTTACCTCTTAATAGTTTCATTAAAAGGCAACCTCTAAATCGTTAAGAAATAATTCTTGTTTGGCAAAAAAAAAATGTCTTTTAATGGTTCTAAAACCCTCTAAATAATTTTGTATTATGGATCTCTTTTAACCATTTAGCACCCTAATTTCATTGTAAACAATTATCAAACAATTATATTTCATTTTGCATTATATAATGAGAGCATCTTAATCATTTTGACCATTTAACCATTATGCACCAAATCATTCAGCAACTGCCAAACAGCCCCTAATTACGATAACTATGAAAAAACTCAAATATCCAAATTTATCTCCTATTTTTTTTTATGTATTTTTGGATATTGATAATTATTGATTTTTCATCCAACTTTTCATTTTGAATTCATTGGCGATTTTACAATCTACAAATCAAATTAACTCATTTGCCGAAAACTCATACGTGAACACAAAATCGATGTTCTTCAGTTGTTTGAAATGTAATCAAAAGCAAAAGATCCCAAAAACCATTGTCATACGGTAATAGTTAGGTGTATATTAGTTGATATGTGAATATGTTAATCCTAACATATATTCACATGCGAATCCTAGCATAACTTGTACATTAATCGATTTAAAACTTATAACTGGTATTCTAAATCAATTTAAGATTCATATGTGAATATGCGAATCATAATATAGATTCACATGTAAAGATAATTATAACTTGTACGTAAATCCATTTATAACTTAGCATTCTTGTTTGCTCATCATTACTTGGTGTTTTTGTAGTTTGGCTAACTTAGTCCGAGAACTAAGGTCGCACACGAGCTTGTGAAGACAACTCTGTGACAGTAAGCTATAATAACTTGTAATATTAACTTATAAAATGTTTACATCAATAACCGTTATTTGATGATTAGTAAATTGCTTTTAAAAGTTATTTCCGGTCATTATAATATGGTAAAGATAAAGCATTTACAACGTAACACTACACGTATACAACTTATGTTCCTATTTGAACTCATTAAAACTAATGGGTCATTTATCAAACAATTACTCGGTAAGTATTTATCGGGTCACTTACCTTATCGGATAAAACATGACAATTATCTAGAATTATACTTGGTAAGAGGGACGGCAAGTTACTGAGAGTCTTATCGGTAAGTGAGAGTGACGACTTTTACCCGGTTAGCGATTATCGGATAAATTATTGTACACGTGCTATTTTGATGGACCAAAATTTTACCCGGTAATGTAAGTGACAATGTTGACTCTTACTGATAAGTGCGTACCGGGTAAGCATTCAAGTAAATGGCTCCTAACTGATAACAAACTGAAAAAAAAATTTAAAATTGTGAGTTTAAATTATTGGTTTTAAACTCAGATGTAACATGTTATATTACGTAGGTGTTAGATACATGGGTTCGTGTATTGATTACTCGGATTAAATCTTGGATCATAAACACTTTTTAAATACAATATTTCGATCCTTCGTGACCAAGGTTACATAAATTTTGTATTGAAAAAAATCTAAAATATCACTCTCATTCTTATGCAAAAACTCGAGTATACCATAAAAGATTGTCCTAACCCGTCTATTTATTAAATGATACATTAATTACCCTTTGTAGGCAATTGTTATAGTGGTTACAAAAAAATTACAGCTACAAGCATAATCAACAGAATACTGCACCAATTGAAGACATCAACTGATGTTGCTGTTGATGAGCAACAACTAATGTGCAACAGCTGATGATGATCAGTAGCAACTGACATTGATGATAAACAGCTGATGGTAAAAATTTAAATGTTATTAGTATAAATGATCAAATCCATAACAAAAGTGAAACCACAATGATCATACATATAATTGTGTTGTTTGGGGGACCCATCCAAAACTTCATAAAACTATAAGGACTAAATTTGTAATTTACTCTGTTATCTATACTATATTATAAAACATTTGATAAAAACTTTTAAAAACCGTTTTTTATGTGTAAAGTACTGTTTATTAATGCATATTACTCAAAACTCAAGATTGCAAGTAGATTGTGCGTAAGTACAACTTATTAAAGCTGCATATTTGAATTTGTGTAACTAACTGCAGATAAACATAATCAAATACATGATAAATATATCATTTTAAATATAAAAAATCTAAAATATAATTAGGATAATCATTGAGTTTTAACATAATACTTAATTATTATTTTTATAAAATATTATTTTATTAAACCAAAAATAAATTATTTTATTATTAAACTTAAATTAAATTATAATAAAAAWAAATTAAGGAAGTTACATAAAAAAAAATAAAAATTTTAAATAATTGATTTGATATTAACATTGATATATTTTTTTTTTCAAATTTTTATGATATTTTCAAATTTATATTTTATTCAAAAATAAAATTATTATTATTTTTTAAAAATATATTATCATATTATAACATCGACAGAGATAAATAATAAAATAAAACATTAAAATCAAGATTTGTCTTATATATCACGCAAGTTTATATTAAAAAAAGATATTTATTTATTTATTTGTCTATTTTTCGAAAGGATGGTAGTATTCGTCAAATCTAATTAAAGCACACCGTTTTAGCACGCAAACTTTCGTTGCCTTTTCTCGTGCTCTACCCCTAAACCAGACGAAACCCCCAAATTTGAACGCCACTCGCCTTCCTCCATCCACCACGATCAACCTGCACTACCACCTCAAACCCTAACAAATTTCACCATTAATCATCAATTTCCATGGCATACGTAGACCATGCTTTTTCTATATCAGATGAAGACATCATGATGGACTCTGATTCTGTTTACACCTCCCACAACCGACCTCCGATCAAGGAGATCGCTCTCGCTGTCTCTCTTCTTGTCTTCGGCATCGTCGGTATCGTCTCCGGCATTTTCATGGCCATCAATCGTGTCGGTGGAGACACAGGCCACGGTAACTCTCACTACCGTCTCTATGTGTACCCCTGGAAATATAATTTATCATGCTACTCTTTGTAATTTTTTATTTTTTCGTGTTTTATGATATTGTCAGGATTGTTTTTTGCGATATTGGGGGGGATCTTGTTCATACCAGGGTTTTACTATACACGGATTGCTTATTACGCTTACAAGGGCTACAAAGGTTTTTCTTTCTCCAATATACCACCTGTTTAGGGTTCGAATCATCTTGTACACCTTTTTAATTTCAGTATGTACATTTTTGTCTCTCTTGTTTTTGTACTTGTAGTTGATGGTTTTTCTTGCTATATGAAATAAGAACACGATTGTAATGGAAACTATAGAGTTCCTTTATAGGAATAGTAAATGTGAAATTTGTTGATGTATTTGGTGATAGCAACTAAAATTCTCAGCTGCCATTGCTGTGAAACTGGTATTGAGAACAAATAAAAGAACTTCTGTTGCATGCTATTCCAGATGCATCAAAGGTTATCAGTTTTTGTGGGTTTTGCATCTACTTGTGTAATCCGGGTTTTTGTAAACGTGTTGCTCCTTAACTCTGTCTAGGTTACTTGGACTTGATTTCTATGTAATTTGAGAAGCCTAGTAGTAGTATCTCTTTCCAATGTCATTACAATTTACACCAGGAAATGTAGTTGTTCACCTGCTGGCCCCTGTTGAAGGAGTGGGGTTATCAATAACATAGTATTGGCATCTTGATGCTAGCTTCATGATGCATGGGAAATCAGCTGGAAAACGGCTTATGAAGGAGGAATGACTTGTTATAAAGTATCTTATACATCTTGTACACGGTAGGCTTTGACATTTATGTGATCTCGCGTTATTTATAAGCTACAGCTGTGAGCATAAACGATTCCATTTCACCTGATGTATTTGGCTGTTAGAAGGTGGAGCACAATGTTAACTCAGCTTCTCACTGCAATAAATCAAAACCGAGCATCTTTTAAGGTCTATGCCAAGTCAATTAATATGAAGTGTGCATGACGAAGTGCAGATCTCTTCTTAAGACAGTCCTGCCATTACTGGTGGGAGCTTCTTCATTTCAATAGGTGTCACAAAGGGTTTACGATGTAACAGGTGATCAGTTGTTACTTGGTCACTATCCGAATGGTGACTGTGTAGTCGACATCTGCTCTGGTAGGTTGATAATCTTAAGTTTTCTTGTGGTTTACTTAACTGTCAATTTTTTATGGGGTATTTCGTACTTAAGGATTTCTGCTTTTTCCAGAATTCTTTTTGAAGTTAAGGACGATTTAACTGACTGCCTGGTTTGTGCTGTTTCCTTTCGTTATTATGCTAGTTACCAGCGTTAGTTTCTTATAATCAATGTACGATGCCAAATAAGAACCAATAAGTTATATCAATTCGCCACATCCTCACTTCTCACACAGTTTCTATACTCGAATACTCGATCTTAACTTTAGTCAAACTGGAAGTTGAAAATGGACAAGGAAAAAACAGTTCGCTATTGAAGGTCAAAATATTGTCACTGCACGAGCATTAGATCATTGCAAGTGATGCCAAATCAGAGACTGCAAGCTATCAGTTAAAAATACAAGGCTGGACAGGAACTACCTTATTCTTGAAGTATAGAAGTATGCTTTGTCCATTGGAGCATCAAATGGTCTTACATAATCCTTGAAACATTTATCATTACAGGAGATCCTTTTTCATGAAAAGTTCTGTTACTTCTATATGCTCATGTTTTATTTGTAATAGTTAAGAACATTCTAGGATGTCATGAAGTACAGCTCTGAACGTGATTCTAGGATGCCATGAAGTACAGCTCTGAACATGTATGGTTCATATTTCTTCATGATAGATATATTCAAGATTTCAAGTAGAGAAGAATGTCTAAAGTCACTTCCTTGCTTTAATTTTGAACTAGATTGGTCTGATAATAATCAGGGTCTTGGGACTGGAGGAGAATTGCCCGTGGTCAGGCATTAGAAAATGATAAGGTGGGTGGTAGTCATGGACTCGTTAAGACAAGTGAAGAAATATTAATATGCTCAGACTTTTTGCAATTTAGGATTCTAGGCACTAGCTCTCGTATCTTGATGTGTGAAGAATCAAGGCAGACTTGTCTAACAATGGTACACAAGCCTGGTGCTTGACTACCTTGCACTAAATCATCTGTGCAGAAATCCTCATATCCCAAACAGTATTCTGTAGTCACTTATGATGGATCACTTCAAAAAATTTGGGAGAGTCCAGAACTTTTAAAAGGTTAACCAGAATGCCAGAGTTATCTCGACTGTAAAACTAATTGCACCTAAAAACCTACATGACCAAATCCAAACTGCTAGTCTGCTACTAGGTTCCAATTGCTGATTTTATGCTTTCCCTTCATCCTTGCACAAGTAGCATACCTCATAAGTATTGCAATAGCCTGAAGCCTTGGCTCCTTACAAGGTGTGAAGCCTGTCATATGTCTCACAAAGGTCTAAAGCCTTGAGAGTTCCATCATCTCTTGTGAAGCTTACACAATTCTTTCCCTTCATCCTTGCACAAGTAGCATACCTCATAAGTATTGCTACTAGGTTCCAATTGCTGATTTTATGCTTTCCCTTCATCTTTGCTTGATGATGGTTTATAATTTAACATGCACATGTCACGTGATGCTTCTAGGAACATTGTTAATACCTTACTTTTATGAGGCATGGCTGCATATAACATGATATTTGTTTTGGTGGGTTCTAATATTGTTATCTGAACATAGCATCTGACTTGTTCCATTCTGCTATCTGTTTTCTTCTAATTTTTCAGTTGAGTTTAAACATTCATCTTAATTCTTGTTTTCTCTTGGTCTCACTTCCTTGCTTGATTGACAGTCTTACCTTCCTTTCCATTCGAAGAGTGAGGTTTAATTAGAAAGGCAAAAAGGCTGAGAACGTAAGAGGTAAACGATTCATATGTAAATCATTGGTACAAAGGTAAGTAAACGGACGTGGGTTCATTAATGCATCTTAACATGTGAACAATTAGTAAAAAGGTAAAGTACACGAACTTGGGTCACACATGATGGATTTTCTTTCAGGTTTACCAATAGTTCACATATGAATCTCTTTTTTTTGTCTTATTTGAACCTTCCCTTGGTTAATTAACACACGGAAAGCATCTCCAATAAATTCTTTGAAATGGAGAATAGGATTTCTGATAATCTATTTCTGATAATCTATTTTAGAGAGAATCTATTGAAGTTGGTCTAAATGTGTGCAACCATGTTATACATATGGTTGCATGTTATATAACATTTATTGTACTTCTGTTTCTTACAATAATTCTATATAAATTTTTGTATAAACCAGATGGCGTTGTTATGTGTATAGCTACGTAGTCACTGCATTTGAGCCTTAATGGCCACAAGTGGATTTTTATTCCTTTTTGGATTTGAACCTGGGACCTTCTGTTACTTTTGACCTTTAGAGTCAAGCTCAAACCAATCAAGCATTACCCTTGTGGTTAACTTCAAATAATTTTATACATAATAGATAATTTAACATATATAGAATGTAAATACACGAATGTACGCGTTCATACGATATAGCAAAATTTTGAATAGCAACCACCCAAGAGGGTTCTATATCCATTTTTAGCAGATCGTACGTTATTGAACATAAATTTTACTATTATTATACGTGATGATTTGGCAAATAATCATTGCGTGCACGATTTTGTAATTGTAGCTACCGTATGTCGTTTCTATAACCATCAAATCAAACGTTAATGGGTATGATTAAATTTAGAAAGAAAAAAAAAGACATGACTTTGAATATTATTTACATATGTAAATCTATGTTGGTTCATGTCGTGATTTGCATCTAAGATGGGTGTTGAGGATTCACATTCAATGTTCTTTTGATTTATCCGATCTAATCCAATTATTTATTAGATGTTGATTGTTACAACTGAACAAATCTAATCAAATTAATTAACAAATTTGATAGTTTTTATCGATTAAAATATTATTATTGAATATTTATTAGATTGGATTAGACTATCTAATATTTTGATCAAAAAGATTAAGTAGATTTAAGAAAAATTTGTATATTCTTACAATCCAACCAATTGTCTATTATACATTTTACTTATAAAACATTACTCATAACAAGAAGAGTGATGTCTGATTGGTTTGAGTTTGACTCCAAAGATCAACAGTATCAGGAGGTTTCAGGTTTAAATCCAAGGAGGAATAAAATTCTCCTTGTGGTCATGGAAGTTCAAATGCGATGATTCCGGGCTATTTGCAAAGCAAGTGGTCTCCCTGGGATTAGTCGGCTCGCATAGTGGGTTGGATATCCAGTTTAATAAAAAAAACATTACTCGTAAATAAAGATCCATATAAATTTAACATAATTGGTTTAGATGTACATTAAAATACGTGTGTATTATATCCAGGGAGAACCACAAAAGAATGAGAACCGGAAAACTTATCAAAAACCGTTGTATATGGTAATTGGATTGATCGATTCCATCCAACAAGCAACCAATTTAATTCTAATTAATTTGGATATTAAAGTCTTGGATCCGATCCTAAATGAATATGCAATTTTCGTCGATCAATTGTAATCGAAACAAATGACTTCTGGTACCATTTTAATATCTAAAGGTGGCTCCGACTCTCCCTCGGCAAATAATATGTTTACCTGCGAAATTCAAACCCTATGTCCGTTCTTTGACTCCGTCCAACAACTTCATGTTCAAGAAAAGAGTTTCGAAGTGTTTTCTTGTGAGCTGAAACCAAAACACGACAATTTCTTTTCTTTTACATATTTATTTTTTATTTTTATCTCTACTATATTATAAAGCATTTGACAAAAACTCTTAAAACTCATTCTTTATGCAGGAAATATTGTTTATTAATGCATATTATTTAAAATTTAAGATTACAAGTATATTGTGCATAAGTAAAAACTTGTTAAAGCTCTATTTTTGAAATCGTATAACTAACTGCAAATAAACATAATCAAATACAAGATAAATATCTATAACATATAAATATAAAAAATTTAAAATATAATTAAGATAATTATTGAGTTCTAACATAATCATTATCTTTATAAAAATTATACTGTTAAACCAAAAATAAATTAATTTGCTATTAGACCTAAATGAAATTAAAATAAAAAATTGAATTAAAAACTTGCACAAAAATGAGAACTTTTAAATAGTTAATTTAATATTAAAATCTAGATAATTTTTCAAAATTTCATGATATCTTAAAAAAAATTATTCAAAAGTAAAAATATTATCTTTCTCAAAACCACATAAACCGTATTATGTCAACATAGACAAAAAATAAAAACAAAACATTAAAATGAAGATGTATTTCGCTGCATTGTACAAATACCCATCTAATAAAAACTCAGTAAATAAAATATAAAGAATTGTTAGACAATAAAGTAAAAAAATGGAAAAGTGAAGAGAAAGGGATTAGGGTTACGTTAAGTTTGTAATCAAACCCTACTTTATATATATATATATTGTATTAAAAAGAACGTTTAGTTGGGTTTGAACACATTTATGTACTTTATTTGTTCATAACTAAAATATCTTCGTAATCATCATTTAACGACACTTTAATTAATGATCGTAAGATTAAAACATTTTAATTAATATAAAGTAAAACACCGGTTCGCGTTTATCTTCAATTATTTATGGGTTCACAAATAAAAGTTCGAGTAAGCTATAAATTAATTTAAATATTTAACTTCTTCGTTTCTTATGGTTAACCGGTTTAAAAGGTAACAAGTTACCCGTTACTATAATGGGTAGATTTTTTAAAGTGTGATTTCTTAATAAAAAATAATTTGAAAGTACATTGTTGTAATAAAGAAAAACAAAAGTAGAATGCTATAATAAAGAAAATTTATGAAAGTAGGTTGCTACTTCATGCATTTAATCTTTTTTTATTCTTATAAAATGTAAAATTACAAGATGCCCATTATGGTTTACAAAAATGTTAAAAGATTCCATTAAACGAGAGTTTTTTTTTTTTTTTCCCATCTTTTTGTCGGTTTTTTTATCTTTTACCCAATCAAAATCTATACGAACCAAAATCATAAAATTGATTTTGATTGGGGTAAAGACAAAAAAGTCGAATTATTTGATAAAACTTTTGACATTTGTTAAAAAAATAACAAAATCTGTACGTTTTTACAAACCACGATGATATTTTTTAAGTTCAAAAACTGTAATAACAAAAAAAAATTATTTCCTTTATAAAGCATGGGGCAAAATTTATAGTTTACTCCACAAGTGTAGTGTCTGATTGGTTTAAGTTTGACTCCAAAGATCAAAAGTACCAGGAGGTTCCATAATCAAATATAATGAGGAATAAAAATCCCCTTGTGGCTACGGATGTTCAAATGTGGTGACTTCTGACTATCTGCAAAACAGGCGGTCCTTCTGAAATTAATCAGCTCATATAGCAAGTTGAATATCAGGTTAATAATTTTTTTTTATAGTTTAGTGTGAAAGTTTTATTAAATATAAAGAATTAAAGAATGAATGGATTAAATGGATAAAAAGGAGATAAAAAAAAGCATCATCGACTTTAATCGGCACTCATCGATGCACATCATTGAGTTGTCCATAACGATTAAAAAAAAGCAACAAAAAGAAGTCGCATGAAAAGAAGAGCAGAATAAAGTTTCAAAATGAGTCCACTTCAATTTATTTTATTATTTTAAATTAAATTAATATACGAATTTAATATTTTGTTTTTCTTTATAAATAGAAAAAAAAAAGTTTTTAAGTTAAATGGCCATTTTATTAATTTAAATTAATCTGCTAACCATTTGTTTTCGGGATTGACTCAAATGTCACTATTTCCGCAATATCACAGACGTTGCAAAATACAGAAAATTCAACACAAATATGTAAATTGCGACGGCAAGATATGCATTTGTGATGGTTTGGTCAGCATTTACGACTGCCTGCGACAGGTTATGTCTACAATTGTAACAGTAAACTAGTTGAATTTGATTTTTTTTTTGGTCTTTTAATTAGGTCTGTAACATCAGTGACATTTAGATCAATTCAAGATGAAATGGTTAAAAGACTAATTTAAACGAGGAAAATGATCATTTAAATTAATTTTAAAAAGAAATCATACCAAGAATTTTGGAGATTTGTATATGAAATATTAATAAATTATGTTTATCAATAAACAAATAATTTGCAAAATAAATATTTCTGAAAATTCAGAGCGTATTTATTTAAATATTTTAAATTTAAGTTTTTTTTTTCATTTTTTAAAAGAAAAAATAGATTAAAAAAATATTAAAATAACTATTTTCCCAAATTAGTTTTATCTATTAGTTATTTTCTCTTTAAATTTACCAAAATAACCATAGATCTGCAAAATCCATGTCCGTAGTATCAAACCCAGCTAAACGACAAAAACATTTATATTTGTTTTCCTTATCCCGAAAAAAAATTACATTTCTCAGTCAGTCCATTGAAAAAAATTACATTTTCATCTAGATCCACAGAGAAAAAAATTAAAATTACGTATCAAGGGCTATTTTGGTAAATCTTATAAAAAATGGCTAAAAAGTGAAACCAACATATAAAAATAAGTATTTAAATTAATTTCCTAAATAAATATAAATGATATATATATTTTAGTTTATAAAAGAAAATAATGTTTTGGAAATTTTCAAAGAAGTTAAAAAGGATAAAGAATTGATAGCCATTGACGTCTAACGCGGATCCATTGACTTCTTCATCCCATCACACTTTTCTTTTTCTTTAGAATAATAATAAAATGACTTTATTTCTAAGTAATCATGTTTCTAAATTATAAATTTAATTCTCGAATGAAGTTTAATTATTCGTTATTATTGTATGTGATTAAGTTTCGGTGAGAACGAAAGTTAAATGTAAGAAGCATAAGAAAAGATTTTCACCCTTGGATGCACATTGATATAATAAGATGCATCAAATCAATTCTCGTAAGAAGCGTAATTCATGGGTGGACAAGAGACTAAAAGTGATCAAGAGTTTGGATCTCTTCTTATGTTTCTTACATTAACTCTTCTTCTCACATGATCATTTGTGTTGGTGTATTTAGAGTGGACTATCTTTTGAAAACCCATTAGATTGTGATAACCGTGAGTTGTGCATTATGTGTTATTTTATATAATCTTTTTTCATCAAAGACTAAGATTTAAAATATTGGTTAACATATATTTGTTTCATAATGTGTTTATTTTACATATACTCGGTTCACAATGTGGACCTTTTTGGCTTGTTTATGTAAGAAAAAAAATACACTTAAAAGAACTTCATATTACACACTCATTCGCCTATGTCTATATAATGATTTACTTATGTTATTGAATGAATTTTGTATATTGACTTGTCTTATATGTATTATTAGACTTGTTATTTAATAACATAAAATGACAACGTAACATGATTGTGGATCTCGTTTTTTCTTAGAAGAGTCTAAAGGGTTATTTTCTATATGTTTAATAGGTTTAATAGTCTAACTGACTTATTCACAAGTCATAAACGATTGTTCTTTTTCGAATTATTTATTAACACAATGGGTCAATTAGTTAGCCACTAAAATGAGGTTATTCCATACGCCAAGAATTTCCCACCATACCATTTTGTTAAGAAAAAGCTCTCCTTTCAAAAGACGTTCTTTCTTTTAGTCAACATGCTTCTCCATCCATACCCTACCCTCGTCACAATCCTGTCTTGCTTGTCTCGTTGTCGTTGCCCCTGCCTTAGATAGATCGATTTCTTCTCTTAGATTCCAATTTGGTCTTAATTCATTTCTTTTGATTCAGTAAATTAGTACAAGTATGCATTTGGCACTTGGTATGTAATGGATGTATATTTCAGATTTCAATTCCACAACATCCCTTTGTGGAGTGAATGCACGTCAGATGTTTGATAAAATGATCAAAAGCAATTGGATACTATATTGTTATTGTTGACCGATCAATTATAAGAACTCACTGATATTGCTAATTAACAATTATCATTATTCATTGTAATGATAAATGATCATGTGAGAAAAGGGTCAATGATTGATCTGATGTATCTCCTTACACTTGATCTACTGATTATTTTTAATTATGATTGATACAAGGATGAAGATCCTTTTCACCATAGATTTCATTTTAAACGCAATCCAACCTTCATTGCGTTTGTGGTAAAATTATGAAAGCAAACATCTCATGTGAAATTATGGTAAAATTATCCGTAAAAATTGTAACGCCAACAACATCGCATTCATATTTGAGGGGTCTCATTTTCAACTTTTGCTAATTTACAAATCATACCCACCGTGAAATAAATAAAAATTAAAAGAAGTTGTTCATGGCCTACTTACTAGTTACTACTGCTACAACTACAATTGACTCTGGAAAATTGTACCAAGTGAGTGGGACCCACACTTGTCCCCCTCCTCACTTTGACTGTACCACTAAGCCGGTCAAACCTGTCAGTATCGGCGTCGGAGCCTGATGGTGAATGTGTTCTCTATCGTAGGTTACGAGAAGCATCTTTGGATCGTCTATGGCTAACTCCACGCGCTTCCTCGCCGGACATCCTTTTCCGGTATTGCACTTGTAATAGACTCTGCACATTTCACCCAAATCCAGATCAAGATCTACAGGTTTACAGAATTTATCGACTCAAATTGTGGTTCATTTCTCATCAAATTACCTAGGATAAGGTGATCCGTCGATCTTCTTCTCTCCGTATTTCTTCCACGAGAAATCGTCGGCCGGTATGCTTGCGACTTTCGATCCGGTAATCGGAACTCTTCTTATTTCACGTTTTGATGCGATTTTCCTGAGAGAAGGTAAAAGAAACATTAATCCATGGACTTGAGGCTTACGATAACGGTAGGAGTATGATTTTTGCTAAAGTGTGCCGTGAGCGTATATACATACCTTCTCTTGCAACAGTGACAACCGCTACGAGAAACGGAGTGGTTATCTGATCCAGATCCTTGCAAGGAAACAGAAGGCCGGTCGGCGCGGCACCTTTTCCTGTGCGACGAAGGTAGCGGCGGTTTCCGAGATGAAAACGCCGGCGCCGGAGCTACTATACCTAAACAAGGAAATTGTTTACCATTTGAAACACTGCCTTCTTCTCCTGCGATCAACGGAGATATCAAAGAAGACGAGTTCGTTGACCGGGACGACGTCGTCGTATCCGTGACCGACTTACTAAAAGAGCACTCATTCGACGCTCCGGTTGAACCGATAAATACCGGCGCCGATTGCGTAGAAGTGGAAGGAGCGTGTGAATCTGAGGAAGACGGTGAGGGTGAAGGTCCGCGGCGGAAACGAGCGTGGCCGGTGCGGTTCAAGGCGGAGACAGCTTGTTTGAAATTAGAGGACAGGGCGAAATCATGATTGTTCAGGTGGAATATGCGATTGAGGTGTTCGGCGGATTGAATGCCGACAAAATCAACGGCCATTGTTGTAGGAGAAAAGATTGAGCTTCAATTCCAAACCTAGAGATGAAGGATGGAAAGGGAAAGGAAGAGAGGAATGGGGGGTTATAATGGGAATTGGAGTCAAAGGAGATGATGGGATGGGTTTGACTTTTGACGATTCTATTAAAATACGACAAATAAGTGGAAGCCACTCGTCAATTAATTAAAGTCCAACAAAAGCCGTGTATATAATAAAAATATTCAAATTTTTGATTTGCACATTATTTTTTAATATTATTTTAATCATATTTAATTAATTATTATTATTCTTAATTTCTTTTAGAATAAATCAAGGAAATCATCAATTTGATTTTGGTCACTACAATTAATTTATTATATAACAACAACTAATATCTTTTATTTTCATTCTCGTTCTTCTTTATATGAACTTACAATTTTTTTTATTAACCTAAATATTCAACCCGTTATGTGAGCCGATTAATCCCAGGACGAACATCTGTTTTACAAATAGTCTGGAGTCACTGCATTTAATCCTCAGTGACCACAAGTGGATTTTTATTCCTTCTTGAATTTTGACCTGAGACCTCATGATACTTTTGACATTTGGAGCCAAACTCAAACCAATCATGCACCACCCTTGTGGTTATATGATGGAATTTATGTTTCATCTAATCGTATATGCTTATAGAAGTTGTGGGTATGCTTAGTTTTTTTATGGGTTCATTTACAGAGTGATTGATATGTGGTCTGTCTATTGCTGATAAATTTGTTACAGGTTTAAACATTAATGTAAAAGAAATATTAAATTACTGAAATAAATAACAAAAATGTTCCATTCTCAAATGGCGGCAATTAATCAGAGAGACAAACTTGTCCAATCACTGTAAGTTGAAAGTTTTTAGTATAAAACTCACCTTGATTCATAGAGAGATGCAGACAAACAACGACAATTAATCAGATTAAGAATCACAAAATCAACTTCTACTTGCTTTCCCTTTCGGTTTTTATTTTTCTCCGGCTCAAAACACACAGAGAGAAGGTTTTCTCTCTTTTACTTGCTTACTCTCACAATCTCCACGAAATAAAACAAATATCTCAAGTAATATGCATAATTAAATATGAGGCGGTGTGAGGTTTAAAACATTATAAGCATATTAACAAAATAAACCCCTCACTTTATTAAAAAAAACCCGAACTTTATAACTGGTAAATTGGTTATCACAAATACAGTTTCATAATTATTATTTTATACGAATTCACTTGAAAGGATGTCCTTAAACACAAGTGTCTTATAAAAATTTGGGTTTAAAACGACCTATAAATTAGTTAATACGACACTATATTATAAAACATTCTAAAAAACTTGTTAAAACGTCCAAAAGCGTACTATAAACCTATTATACACTTTATAAATGGCGTTTTATAGTTTGATCTTATAAACCTATGTTCTATAATATATTTTATTAGGATGCTTGAACATTTTAGACTACCTATAAAACCAATTTTGTTGTAACAAGAATTGAATAAGCGTAAATTATTTTGCAATACAGTTTAGTCTTGCAAAAGCGTACATATATGCATAGAATCCCCTTGTTTGGTTCATAAATATATCTTTATTGTTTTTTTAATTAAAAGCATTGATCGTAATTAATACACTATGATCGTATTTCATAAATATACCGATCATAATAAATAAAACGTTATCATTTTTTTTTCCTGATATTGGTTTGCAACAATTACATAGTTTTATATTTACTTTGTCATATATATATAGGGTTTATTTCAAATACAACCTATCGCATTTGTACAACCAATGCAAYCCAATAAATTGAAATATTTATGGAAATTATTAGAGTTCATTTATTATAATTTAAATATTTATGGAAGATGAATACGGTTCATTAATTATGATTAATACTTTATATTAGGAAATAATCAAAATCTTTATAAAATCACATATTAATCAAATGAAATGGACGGTTGAGATTAGGTTGTATTGGTTGCACAAATGACCAGGGTTGTATAATAACCAACCTATATATATATATATATATATAGAGAGAGAGAGAGAGAGAGAGAGAGAGAGAGAGCAAAATGCAAACTCAATTTCTATTTTAAACATGGGGATTGATCTCGACAATCCATTTTATTTGATCAAACAACTTAGATTAAATATAATTTTTAATCAAAATTATTAATTAAGATGATTAGTGGTAAAAAAAGCAGTTAATTTCAATCCACGTCTATCTTTTTTTAACTTCTTATAATTAAAATTTTTTACCTTCTTAAAAATGAATAATATTTTAATCAAATAAATTAAATAAAAAAACGAGAATTTCATGCTATTTGATACGACAAAACATCCCATATCCAAAAGGTGCCCCACATAGGTCTTCTTTATCTCTATATATAGTTTTTTTTAACCGTTTTTACGTGAAATGATATATATTTGTCATATTAATTATAAATATTTATGTACGTTCAAGTGAGTACAACAACTCGACACTGTAAGATCGTAACTCGACATCACTTTCTTCAACACTTTCTTCAACGTCGTATGACATCACGTTCTTCATCACTGTAACCCAACACCCATCGAGACCAACTGAGAACCCATCAAGATCGAACGAGAACCTATGGAGACCGATCGAGAACCTATCAATTGATTTATTATTTGTTTGTGTTTAAAACCATAGACCATCACTTTTATCTTTTATTGAGAAGGATCATGAACCTATCTGGACCAATCAATAACTCATCAAGATCAATCGACAGTCCATTGGGACCAATCAACACCATTCGGGAATAATCAAGAACCCATCCATTGACTTGGTGTGCTTTATTTGTGTAAAACCATAACCTATCACTTTTAACTTATATCGAGATGAATCGGGAAATCTATCAAAATGAATTAGAAACTCATTCAGATCAATCTAGAACCCAATAAAGAAAAAGAAAGAAAAACTAAAGTTTGTTGAATTGAGACTATAGTATATTTATGATGAATATTACGGTGAAAATTAATATTTATGATAAATATTATACTAAATATAAATATTAGAGAGTTATTGTATACACATGATCATACATAAATATTAATGATGAATGTTACAATGAAAATGCATATTCATGACGAATATCATACTGATGTATAAATGTTGAAAAATTGTTATATACACATGAACATATATAAATATTCATGATGAATAGTAAATATACTTATTATAAATAGTATAGATTGTGATAATCATGTGATAAGCAAGCAATCCAAAAATTATATGCATTAGACATTGTGAATGAAACTACAATGTGATACTCATGTGATAAGCAAGTAATCTAGCAATTTTTTACATTATAAATTAATCGATTTTGTCCTAACTATACTGTGATAATCATGTGATAAGCAAGCAATCTGGCAATTGCATACATTATATATTAATCGTTTTTGCCTTAAATACACTGTGATAATCGATATTTGAGTTGTGATAGTTTGCTTGTTCAATTTCTCGACCATGCCCTTAACTGTGATAAGTCTGTGATAGACATTCTCTCATCGAATCTCAAATAGATTGAAGCCCTAATTGATTACAGACATTGAAGTGTCATAATATGTGATCAAGCTGTGTTATTAGACATATACCTTTGATCTTCTTCGTCGTTACCTTCGAAATAGACTGTACGATCTTCTTCCTCAACGCCTTCTGAATAAGAGTATATGCTTTTCCTAACTCGGTTTATTCCTTGTTTTTAGTTTCGCCTTCGAACAAGAATGTAAGCTATCGTTGTGTTGTTTGTGATAACCCAAGGTCGACGATGATGATTATCACTACCCAGATGATTGGAATACTCTACATCGTGTTATTTGAATTTTAGGATATCAATTTCCAATTTTACCCTTCCACGTTCTCAGAATATTTGAAATTGTTTTACTATTTAGTTAAGTTTGAAAAATACTTTAACTTCTCTTAAAATGTGATTTTAAACACAATTCTTGGCTTAGAGGTTGTTCTCGCATTCTCGCAATTCATAGGGGTTCTTGTTTGAACCTCCATCTATAAATACACACACACACACATAGATAGAGAAAGGGGAGGGGGAGNGGCGGTTCAAATGAGAATGATACATATTTAAGAGAATAAGAGAACGGTTCATGTTCAAAATCACATGTGATCCACGCGAACGGAAAACGCGACTTTAGGGTTGCCCGCACATTTTTCTCTCTTAATGTAAAATCACATATAATTTTGTATACGATCTGGCCGTTTTCGTAATTCATTAAATGGTTAGTATTCTCGTGATCCTCCGTGTATATATGTAATTGAAAAGTTGAAAATAAAAATATTTGGACAAATGAAAATATTTGTGTAAACTTGAAGACACATCTCAATTATACATACAAAAACTATAATTTTAATGTATGAATGGAGCATGCTTCAATCATCAAGGCACCAAAATGGTTGTTAGTGAAATATGACATCCCACAAAAACTATTAATATTTATGCAATCAATTTGTATCCCAAATAATATTTGTTATTGAAATAGATATGGTTTCCAAGATTTTATTCGATTTTTAGTATTTCTTATTAATTTAATCCACCACTGCAAAATACATTACTAATTCAGTTTGACTATTAAATCCAATCAAATTCTTACTCGTATACAAGCCTCGTTCAAGTACAAACGAGTTACGTTTTATCCACTACCTTTTAACGTACAATTCTTGAACTTCTAGTTAATTTAGACACGATATCAGTTCAAGTTCAAGATTCTTCTTGAACGATATTTAAATGAGTCTAGTGGACATGGTTTCTATTGGGTGACGTATAACTTTATTCTGTACATGTTTGTACCACTTGAACCCACTACAAATATAATCACGACATCATTATAGATTCGATAACAATTGGTGTCTTATCACTTCGATTAATATTAGAATATAGGAAGAGGAAATATGACTAGACTTGTTAAGGTTGATTCGATTATTGTTTTATTTAAGGATTGATACAAACTGTATAAAATACAAAAGTTGCATGTTGTTTCAATAGAA